CAAGAGGCGAGAAGAACTGCAACAGTCAGACTGTAACGAACCAGAACAAATATGTCCGGGAGAAGGCGACTGTTTCAAATGACATAGTCACCTACCGCCAGATTCGAACATAAGTTTCCTCAGAACAGGAAGACCCAGTTGCAAAAATGCTAGTTAGAACTGAAACCCGAAGACATGAAAGTTGTGGAACCGAGGCGAGCAGGACACAAAATGGCGAGGGAGCCTGCATGTTAATGTTTCATTCCTTCTTGGCCTTCAGTCTCAAAGGGTTGTATGGACAAGGAATATGCATGAATTTCGCTAAATGACCTGTGCATGGCGATACACGTGAGCGGAAAAGGAATTCCCTCGACTGTAATATTAGGATTCCCCGACATTCCGTAGTAATAAAAGTAGTCCGCCCTGGTGGACGTGTCTTAATTTTTTACATTCATTGGGAAATGAATGCAATAACATGTGACCAATTCAGCTAATCAGAATGCAGGAATTTCAACGAACACAAGGAAAATTTAATTATTGGTATATGTGGGCATCACGTGTATTATGAACTCTGATTCTGTGAATAACATCCAAATAATAACATGAGTAAGTAACGTTCCCAGAGCCCTGCATGTGGTCCATATGCTGACACACTATGAAAATGCAAAATCATGTTTTCAAGGATCAGATATGTGGTTTTGTGCTCAAGTCAATCTCGAAAAACACATCAAATTATATTCGACCCCCGATCAACAATATTGTTGTGTTTGATTACCTTATGTCTTAATAAATAGAACAACTTAATTTGATTGTTGTGACCATTTTGCCATATATGAATGTGCGTTTTCAGAGTGTTTCAGTACAGTTCAGTTTAAGTCACTATTCAGTTTAAGTCACTATTCAGTTTAAGTCACTATTCTCGACCCGTGAAGATTCCGGGGTAGAATAGGTCTTCAGCAACCCATACTTGCCGTAAAAGGCGACTATGCTTGTCGTAAAAGGTGACTATGCTTGTCGTAAAAGGTGACAAACGGGATCGGGTGGTCAGACTCGCTAACTTGGTTGATGCATGTCATCGATCCCGAATGCGTGGATTGATGCTCATGATATCAATCACTGGATTGTCTGGTCCAGACTTGATTATTTTCAGACCGCCGTCATATAGCTGGAATATTGCTGAGTGCAGCGTTAAACAACAAACCAACAAACAACAAGTCACTATTCTCATCAGGATGTGTATGCCTTACAGCTCAGGCCATGATTGCTCCTTCAATGCACATGGTTGGCCAATAAGAGACAGATTAGTTCCATGAAGATGAACAGATAAGTTTGGCATTAGGTCAAAGGTCATGGCCAAGTGACCTGATTATTGTACTTAGTCCTTGAGGGGTCATTGCAGAGTTCAGTACCCAGATGGTGGGACAGACCAAGCTCCTTGCACTATACGGCTGTAGAGGAGTATTGACAAATGGCATTGATTTTTCATTATTCATTCTATGTTGTGTTGATTTATTTCCCATACTTGTCCACCTCAATCATATCTGAAGGAAACAGCTCCTTTCATGAATCCAGTAGAATGTATTCAGTATTTGTTTATGACAAGAATAACATTGCTTTAACTGCAGTTAGCTTTTGAGTAAGTTGGTTGATTAAAGCAATATTTGAAGAAACTTTAAAAATGGCATGAAATTATTATTCAGGCCCTGCTGTAGGTTATGTTTGATTCTTTGTAGAGTTTCTTATGAAATATTGAACTATTCTTTTTGATTTATTTATGTCCTGAAGTAAGATAATAAATTGCTTATTTTGTTAGGTTAAAAAAGTCTAATGTTATGAACCTATGCTTGGGTACTCGACCTTTGATAGGGAATGTCCAGGTCATGATATCAATAACTGGATTGTCTGGTCCAGACTCGATTATTTTACCGACATGTCATATAGCTGTAATATTGCTGTGTGCGGCGTAAAACAACAAACAAACAAACCAACCAGGTCATGAGACAGAGAACTAGGAGCTGTTGCCATCCAAATAGTATTTAGTATTACAGTGCGGCTGACTCACTGTGGCCAGATAAGACACTATATCTGATGAGTTAACCTCTGGAAGGAGGACTTAGCTCCTCCCCAATTCTAGCCATGTTGACCACCAGACCAAAAGTGGTGGACTTGTTCAGTTAGCTAGCAGATTTCTCACCTGCCATCGGGGCGGTCGGGTAGCCTAGTGGTTAAAGCGTTCGCTCGTCACACCAAAGACCCGGGTTCGATTCCCGACATGGGTACAATGTGTGAAGCCCATTTCTGGTGTACCCCACCGTGATATTGCTGGAATATGGCTAAAAGCGGCGTAAAACCATACTCACTCACTCACTCACCTACTCACTCACTCACTCACTCACTCACTCACTCACTCACTCACTCACTCACTCACTCACTCACTCACTCACTCACTCACTCACTCACCTGCCATCTTTAGGGCAGGGCTTAAATCAGAAAAGGTCATATGTGACCAAAGTACAGCTGTTAGGTCAAGGTCACAAAGTATATGTGGCATTTCCAATAAGATGCCATTTCCTGTAGATATTTAAATATAAAGTCTTGTGTATGTAGTGGTTATGTTATTTGAGTACTTATGTATGGCAAATAAAGTGATATCTGTGAAAGGTCATTGTGACCTAATTCCATTGAGAATTCCAGCTGTGTGAATGCAGTCTTTAAAAAATGAATCTGGACCAGACAATCCAGAGATCGACATCATGAACAACAATCCAATCAATTGATGCAATTGATCCTGATCACACGATTCTTTTAGTCACCTCTGATGGCAAGTATAGGTTGCTGGGTGCCTACTGGTGACCTTCAGTTTAACGTCACTGTTTGTTTGTTTGTCAACGCCACACTCAGCAATATTCAAGCTTTATTATGGTGGTCCTTACAAGTCTGGGACAGACAATCCAGTGATTGACATCATGAACATCAATCTACACAACTGGGATGTGATGACATGCATCAAACCAAGTCACCAAGCCTGACCACCCGATCCCGTAAGTCACCTCTTACGACAAGCAAAGTCACCTTTTAACTGTGTTTAAGGCAAGCATGGGTTGCCAAAGACCTATTCTACCCCGGATCTTCACGGGTGCACTCTGCTTGTGACGTGTATTTCCACTAACCATGGATATAATAATATATGCATGTAACTTTCCTATTGCAGTAACTAGGAGCATAGAACCTTCTGGTAAATAATTGTACTGCATTGGGAATGTGCTGTCACAAACAAGAACTGATGTCACGAGAATGGATTGCATGTGATCTACATATTAAGTAACAAGACAAATATGACTTTTTTCTCCATCTGTTGTTTCCAAACACAGTTCTATGATGAGACTGATGCTAGGTGCCCCATTATGGTGGCTGGAGGCAGGATGCTTTCATCTGGTTTGAGGTTGTAGTCACTAAACTGAAGGATGCATGTTTGTATTAGTCATCACAAACTGGTAATGAAGGGACTGCCTCTGTTATGGCAGGTACTGGCAAACACCTTGTTCTTGACGGCAGTAGGAGCTACACTGCACACCTTCATTGCTACCCAGATATAATTAATAATTAATGGTAACTATGACAACTAGGAGAATCTGTGAAAAGCAGTGGTCAAACAAATTACATCAACCATAATTACTTTCATGTAGATGCCTCCTTCCACAATGTAATACGTTCTGTCAGGTTTAACAATTGTAGCATATGTTTGCAGTAAATATCTTGTCAAGTGAGTTTTGAAATAATACCTCTTTTCTGAGGTTTTAGTTATTGTGGTTATATTTGTGTGTATTTGGTTTGAACATATAGTTAAAATGTAACATGAATGCAGAAAGTAATGGTGCCAGAGGTGTTCTATTGATAATTATGAAGTATATGAACCGACTATGCATTATGAAGTATATGAACCGACTATGCATTATGTCCTGTTTAATAAATACATCAAATTAGGCTATGTTCGAAATGTTTGAATTATATGACTAGGGACGAGATGCAATCCTATCATTGAAAATAATAATGTATACTAAACTCAGGACGAGTACAAACAGCTACACAAACACACATGTGTTACTATGTAATCTGTAACAATGTCACCTCACTTGTGACTGAAAGACGCGTTGGAACCAGTGTCAGTCATTTGCCCTGTTGGGCATTGTGATGGGTAATGCTGCTGTTAGAACAGTTCACCAGTTTGGTTACAGCAAATGGATTCAAATAACATCATCATTAGATGAAAAAGATCTCTTATGAACCATCTTTGTAAGTCAGTCGTACTACATTTACATCAAATACAGGACGTCCAAATGGCCATCACAATAAGCATGGTGGGAGAGATTTCCAAAGTTGTTAATGAACCTGTGGCGATTACAAGTGTTAGTCATTACTGATCAATTGCCCATTGAAAGGTGATTATAAAGATGTGTCAAATAGATACTTAGGTAACTTAATAGGCTGTACTAGCTGTAGACTGTCACTTCTCAGTCTGGACAAGAATGAAGTCCATAGTTTGGATGTGCATTTCTTCGTTTTGTTGATGGGTCTAAGTGAGTTTGTTCTTAAACGGACATGCAGTCAAAATTTCAGACTTATACCAATGTAAGCTTTCAGCACTAAGTTAAAGATTAAAGAATTTCAATAATCATAATCTACGCTTCTGTATTTATTCGTGCCAGAGAATTCCCGGGTTTTACCCAGGAATGTAGAAGTAGTCCATCAGTGTTTACGTCATTTCAAGAAAACAGTCTTGTGAAAAATGTATAAACATCAAAATGTCGTTTATGCACTTACGAATGTCAGTTTTGCAGTCTTGTGACCAACATTGAAAAGCCATACATCGTGAAAACTTTACATTAAGAACTTATTGGTAAATGTACCAGATGTAATAAGCATGTGTTGTGTGGAATAAGTGCTACACGAATGTACACGTTAACCATCATGTCTGTTCTTGGTTATGTGCTTGTGGTGAACTTTCCTTAACGAGTTTCCAGGCTGACTGCTCTCCATATGGATCTACATACCTGTCCCCCCCACCAGACACAAGCTGGCGAAGGTAAGAATTTTGTGATGAGAACATTATTAAGGATGGAGCCAGGAATTTAAAAGTGAGGTCATTATTTTGTATCTTTTTTCAGCACACCAGGACCGATGAGCTTTAGACTTGGTGCGTTGTCCGTTGTCCATGCATTACATTTATGTCCAGATCAGTTGAATGGGCAGAGCCTGAAACTTCAGGAGGAGGATCATTATGTTGAGACTTGTACATACTTGTGTTAAAATCAACGTTGCAGTTGTTAAACAAAAAAAAAAAAAAAAAACACCACTCAAATTTTGAAATGTTCTAGAATTTTTCTCTAGAAAAGCTCAATACCTTGGAATCTGTATCATTGACATGATGTTTAGCAATTTAGTGGAATTCTGATTTTTTTCGGTTAAAAGCAGTATCCATTATGAAAAGTAAATTTGAAAAATCAACCTGTAAGAATTAAGAATCTTCTTTTCAGACTCCACAAGATCCAGAGATCTGAAACTTAATCAAGAAGTGTGGGCCAATAATATTCCTTTGATTTGTTCATGGCATGGCATGTAATATTTTTTTTTAAGATATCTTTTTCAATATTGATTAGATCATATAAAGAAAAACTTACGTTCTAAGAAACTGCACATTATAGGGATCTGAAACATTGACATGACATGTAGCAACATTCAACTTCAGATTAGCTGGGACAAGTAAACTTTAAGAAGTTAAGAATCCTGTCCTCAGAAACAAGACCAGGAGATCATGTAATATAAAGTTCATTTTGATTGCTCCTGGTGGGTAACAGATCTTTGTCGCTAATCTTTTGTAATATATACATTATTTTAATGTATGTGCAATTTTACTTTTTTCAAAAGCTTTCCTCTCAAGTGCTCCTTTCTGGAGCACTTATGCTCATTGACATTGTAGTTATTTTTTCCAAATTAATTTAAGGTTCTGCATGTCACACTTTGAAATTTGTTTAACCGATATTATCATTTAGTTGTTATGCGACAGATAGAGTTGGTCCATATCAGTGTCACACGGTGTGGTTGCCGCAATATTCAAACACCAACATGTTGCAACAGTAACACGATGGAAAAAACAACGCCAAATGATTCACTATTTACTGTATCAGCAAATCAGGGGCACTGTTGCCACAAAGGGAAACATTGTGTAATATTTGATATAGTATATGTATATATATTGTTTATTCAATACCTTATTTGGCATATCAGTCAACAAAGCGTATACAGAGTTTCAAAGGGCAAGCAGGGCAGGGCATGTCAATCAATGTTTTAAGGCATATCATGTTAATTATTGTTTAGCTGATATTATGATGTGTTTGTTATTGAAATGGAAAGGCTGATAACTTTCTGGAAATGACAGTGGTTATAGTCAGGCCAAAGATCCAGATTCATGTTGGAGGTAGCCAGCTGTGATCATATGACTGCAATGATTTTGTAGGGACATTCAACCAAATTCCCTGATTTTAGTTATTTGGCCTTTGGAAGTGCTTTAATGGTAGTATCAGTATTAAAGAATGAATGATGCATGTTTAGATATTGCTGACTTCTTATGGTACTTAAGAACAAATATCAGAAGATACATACATGTGTATGAGAAACATGAAACTTTAGCCATGGTGATTTATTAATAAATCATTAATCAAGAAAGGTATTCTTGTCACCATAGTCAATATTTTATTTCAGGAGGCCATCATGCATGAGGCATAGTTGGTAACATATCTGTTGCTCAGAAATACCCTTTGATTTGTTTCCCCAGTTTGAACTTTGATACAATTATTATAATCTGTAATTTAATATCTATGTGATTAATTGTTAATTGTTAGAAATGATGTGATGTAATTATCTCCCTGGGTGAAACACACAGTTTGGATTCCCTTCCCAGCATGCACTATTATTACCCATCCTGCATCTTCCTGGCCACTACACTGCATATAATGCTGTAAATATGGCCAGCTTTGTTATTATGAATATACGAATGTTGTGTATATTAACTTATTGTATTCTCAGTGATTGCTGGTGTGAGACACAATGCGCTCTTGTCAGAAGACTTCTACTGGCTTATACATGAATGCTGAATTGCCTGTTTGTCTCAACGTCTATAAATTTATGAATGTTTTTCAGTTTCATGTTGATACAGAATTAATACTTACTAGATTTTAGTCAGAATGAATTGCATTCATCATAACAACAATCTTTGAAGTATTTTCTTGCAGCAGCGACATGTGCTAACAGTGGTCATGTGACTTGCATAGAAAAGTCTCACCTTAGATGTAGATTCAGGTTCAGGTTCCCAAGGGCAATGTATGGGAGGTATCCACTAGTGCAATGTATGGGAGGTATCCACTAGTGCAATGTATGGGAGGTATCCACTAGTGCAATGTATGGGAGGTATCCACTAGTGCAATGTATGGGAGGTATCCACTAGTGCAGTGTATGGGAGGTATCCACTAGTGCAATGTATGGGAGGTATCCACTAGTGCAATGTATGGGAGGTATCCACTAGTGCAATGTATGGGAGGTATCCACTAGTGCAATGTATGGGAGGTATCCACTAGTGCAATGTATGGGAGGTATCCACTAGTGCAATGTATGGGAGGTATCCACTAGTGCAATGTATGGGAGGTATCCACTAGTGCAATGTATGGGAGGTATCCACTAGTGCAATGTATGGGAGGTATCCACTAGTGCAATGTATGGGAGGTATCCACTAGTGCAATGTATGGGAGGTATCCACTAGTGCAATGTATGGGAGGTATCCACTAGTGCAATGTATAGTGTTATCCCTCTAGGGCAATGTATGGGAGGTATCCCTCTAGGGCAATGTATGGGAGTTATCCCCTATGGCAATGTATGGGAGTTATCCCCCAGTGCAATGTATGGGAGGTATCCACTAGTGCAATGTATGGGAGGTATCCCCAAGGGCAATGTATAGTGTTATCCCTTAGGGCAATGTATGGGAGGTATCCCTCTAGGGCAATGTATGGGAGTTATCCCCTATGGCAATGTATGGGAGTTATCCCCCAGTGCAATGTATGGGAGTTATCCCCTAGGGCAATGTATGGGAGGTATCCACTAGTGCAATGTATGGGAGGTATCCCCAAGGGCAATGTATGGGAGGTATCCACTAGTGCAATGTATGGGAGGTATCCACTAGTGCAATGTATGGGAGGTATCCACTAGTGCAATGTATGGGAGGTATCCACTAGTGCAATGTATGGGAGGTATCCACTAGTGCAATGTATGGGAGGTATCCACTAGTGCAATGTATAGTGTTATCCCTCTAGGGCAATGTATGGGAGGTATCCCTCTAGGGCAATGTATGGGAGTTATCCCCTATGGCAATGTATGGGAGTTATCCCCCAGTGCAATGTATGGGAGGTATCCACTAGTGCAATGTATGGGAGGTATCCCCAAGGGCAATGTATAGTGTTATCCCTTAGGGCAATGTATGGGAGGTATCCCTCTAGGGCAATGTATGGGAGTTATCCCCTAGGGCAATGTATGCGAGTTATCCCCTAGGGCAATGTATGGGAGTTATCCCCAAGGACAGTGTGTGGGAGTTATCCCCAAGGGCAGTGTATGGGAGTTATCCCCAAGGGCAGTGTATGGGAGGTATCCACTAGGGCAGTGTATGGGAGTTATCCCCAAGGGCAGTGTATTTTAGTTATCCCCATTGCCAAGGGCAGTGTATGGGAGGTATCCCTTAGGGCAAGGTATATGAGTTATCCCCTAAGGCAATGTATGGGAGTTATCCCCTAGGGCAATGTATGGAGTTATCCCCTAGGGCAATGTATGGGAGTTATCCCCTAGGGCAATGTATGGAGTTATCCACTAGGGCAGTGTATGGGAGTTATCCTCAAGGGCAATGTATGGGTGTTTTCCCCTAGAGCAATGTATGGGAGATATCCCCTAGAGCAATGTATGGGAGTTATCCCCAAGGACAGTGTATGGGAGTTATCCCCAAGGACAATGTATGGGAGTTATCCACTAGGGCAGTGTATGGGAGTTATCCCCAAGGACAGTGTATGTGAGTTATCCTCAAGGGCAATGTATGGGTGTTTTCCCCTAGAGCAATGTATAGAGTTATCCCTTAGGGCAATGTATGGGAGTTATCCATCTAGGGCAATGTATGGGAGTTATCCCTTAGGCCAATGTATGGGAGTTATCCCCTAGAGCAATGTATGGGAGTTATCCCCAAGGACAGTGTATGGGAGTTATCCCCAAGGACAATGTATGGGAGTTATCCACTAGGGCAGTGTATGGGAGTTATCCTCAAGGGCAATGTATGGGAGTTATCCCCAAGGACAGTGTATGTGAGTTATCCCAAAGGGCAAGGTATGGGAGGTATATCCCTTAGGGCAAGGTATGGGAGTTATCCCCTAGGGTAGTGTATGGGAGTTATCCTCTAGGGCAATGTATGGGAGTTATCCCCTTGGGCAATGTATGGGAGTTACTCCCTAGGGCAATGTATGGGAGTTGAGCTATTCCAGCCATGACATAGTCTTTAAACAGGGCAGCTTCTAGGGCAACACAACTCACTATGCTCTAGGGCAACACAACTCACTTTGTTCTTGGGCAACACAAGTCACTGTACATGACCAAGTGTCCTAGGGCAACACAACTCACTCTGTGTGACCAAGTGTCCTAGGGCAACACAACTCACTGTGTGTGACCAAGTGTCCTAGGGCAACACAATTAACTGTGTGTGACCAAGTGTCCTTGGGCAACACAACTCACTGTGTGTGACCAAGTGTCCTAGGGCAACACAACTCACTGTGTGTGACCAAGTGTCCTAGGGCAACACAACTCACTGTGTGTGACCAAGTGTCCTAGGGCAACACAATTAACTGTGTGTGACCAAGTGTCCTTGGGCAACACAACTCACTGTGTGTGACCAAGTGTCCTAGGGCAACACAACTCACTGTGTGTGACCAAGTGTCCTAGGGCAACACAACCCATTGTGTCCTAGGGCAACACAACCCATTGTGTCCTAGGGCAACACAATTA